ATTTGCACACCTTTAAAGTTGAAAAAAAGTTGTAAAACAATGGATTTTAATTTTAATTATGGGCTTTTCTTTTCACTCTTCCCAAGCTCTATTTTTGGTAAAAATCTTAATTTTGTACCACTTTTAGTTTTTAAGATATCGGTAAAAAACTGCCGTATTCGCTCGGGACAAAAATAGAAGTGGATTTCGGGGAAGTTCATACAACACCAGAAATTAGCAAATTCTGATGGAATATTTGAATGCGATTTTTTTTAGAATGTTGTTCAAACATGTCGCTGTGAAATGCTTTTGGTTTCACTCAAAAATTCTTTGCCTTTTTTTTTTTATGCAGTTTCAACCACATTCGCTCGGGACATGTCGCTCGGGACATTTTTTCCGATTGTTTTGTAAAGCGGATTTCTTTACCTCTATCTCTCAATTGCTGGATGTTTTGCTTTTAACTTTATAGTTTAGCATGTGAATGAAGCATTCAGTACAGAAAAATGTCACATATTAGCATTCCTATAGGATAAATTAACAACAGAAGACAGGTCCAAAAAATAACAAAAAAATAGCCAAAAACTGATTTTTGCGTATATTGGTGGGGTTTGTCATAAAAATAATCAAACTATACTCCAAATTTGTAGTTAAGCTCAGTATCCAACTAATTAGAAACTAATATCGGGGCAAAATCATGTGGAAATATGTTTTATTCAAGTTTCAAGGTTTTTGGCTTGGTGGACTTTTTTTTGGAAGTGCCCATATACAAATTTTTTCTACATTTCGGTAAGTAGTACTAAACTAATCAAAATTGCGTTTACAATTTTATAAAATCTATAAATATGTGACCGCCAGGTTTTTTTAAAGGTCGTTTACTCTACGAACGAACAACAAATTAATTTGACTCTCTTTTTAATCTATATCAATTTCACAGTATTTTTCATATATATTTTACATTACTTAATAATAAAAATGTAATGTAATTTATAAATCTGTTACTAAAAAACAAATTTTTTTTATTTAAAAATTTTGTTTTGCAAGATATTTTACCGATAAAAATTCAAGCCTTGTAGGTTGATAATATCTAAAATCTTTTCATGATTTTTCCATATGCTTCTACGGGAGATCACTATCGAACCGGAACCGGACTTTATCAGGACCTTCTGGACTTTTTTCATCATATTTACGTAATGACATCAACAGCACCCACTCCAGGACATTCCGATATCGAGGGATATCAATCTTGTGCATTAGACGAGGCAATCGGAACAAATGCGATTGCCAGAGGGCAGTCACATTCACATTCACGCATCTCCATCTTGCACGGGGTCACAGATGTTGGCATTTGCTGGCGTCATCGTCGTCACCCGTAATTGGACATCGGCAGCGGTTCAAGTGCTCTGTTCCTCCTCCAAAATTCACCCCTCACCTCACCGTATGTGCTCGTGTAATTGTGATTTTCCGTGTTTTCCATTTGATTTTTCGCTTTTTCCCCTGTTTTTTCTCCCTCTGCCAGAATTTGCCCAAGTGCATGAATTTGTCGTTTTCAGAAATTTATGCTTTTTAGTTTATTGCTGGTGGAGGAGGGTGCGCCTGCATAGTTTTATGAGTGGACCCTGTGTGCTGGCCATCAGAAGTCCGTCCCTGGCCGGGGTAACTCCATGTGTAATTGGGAATTTATTAGTCGCCAGAGACTCATTTACATTTCTTCCTGTGGAGAAGGAGTGGGCGGCAGCAAAGGACGAAGTGCGGGTGAACAGGACACAGGATGAACCTTCGGACACTGCTGTAATTATTAGCCATTCTTTTATTTATGGCATACAAAGTTTTGATTTATCCGGGACAGGCTGGATTCTCAAGACGAATGTATGGAGCTTTCGCCATAAATTTCCGAAATTGTCTATCGCTTTGCCGTTGAGAACTGATTTATTACTAATTGCTAGTCATAAAGTAGGGAGGCAACACCTGGCTTTTATCTGCTATCCTCCATTTACTTGCATACATTATTATTTATTTCATGTAGTCTAGCTTTTACGTAACATATATTTAGTTTAACTATATTTATACATAAAATATTTACACAGAAATAAATGGATATGAGATGGGGGTAAATTCTACATTATTTCATATCAATAAAAAGCCATTATTGTCAAATTTATAAATGAAACATATCAATTTGATATTTTATCACATCAGTTATTTCATAAGAACTTTAAATATAAGTTAAATTTTGAAATACCAAATTTAGTAATTTTTGAACCAATTATGTATAATATAATGAATATAATCTTTATAAATATTAAATTAATTTGATCTAATCTTTTCTGAAACATTTTTTTTTCGTGGATTTCAACCAGTAGATACATTTAGTCACCTCAAAAACATTCAAAATCATCAAAAAATACATTTCAAAATTTACTATGTTTCTTTTTTTTATTTTAAAAGGATAATATAATTGTATTAGTATTTTTTGGGAAACCTTTATCATCCAAAGATTTTGCTTAAATGGATCTGAACGCAAGCTTAACTTGTTTGTCATACGTTTCATTTAAGCCTCGAATTTTGTGGACTACCAAAGGACTTCGTTAATGGAAGCCTTGCTCGCCGGGTCAAGCATAATCTTATTAAGCACTGGGACTCCAACGTCGCTCCCGTCTCAATTGGAAAATGGAGAAGAAATTTCAACAACGTCACCAATTTCCGGCAATTATTTCGACTGTCGGTTGATTTAATTTATTCGTTGCTCAAAATTAAAACCAAACCAAAACAAAGAAATCCCCTTGTCCAAGTAAAGCGACATTGTAAACAGGCCACATCCCCACGTCCACCTCCTTCCCCTCCTGCCGGAGATCCTGCTACCGAAACCCCTCCTTTATCGCCTGCTGGGTTTGTTGGCGCGATTTTTCATCCCAGGCGCAATTGGTTTTCAATTCAGGGCCATGTAATCCCCCAGCTCCATGGGATATTTCTGGGGATTTATGTTGTTTTTTCTTTGCTAGACGAGCACGAGGAGTGGTATGCTGTGTGGGATCCCTGCATATTATTAGCGAGCGCCGCGTGACTGCGAGTTCAACTTTTAATCGAATGCACATAATTGCCAAAATAAATCAATCAATTCGGCTCGGCTGACTCCTAATGAGAACGGACAGTCGCCAAGTCATCCCCACTTTTGAACTGAGCTCAAGTCCAGTTCTTATTGGTTACATGTGGGCCATTTGCATAAATTACACTTGACAAGATTTTAGCTTAGGCATTATTTGATTGCCTGTCGTGGGGATTACATTGTAATTTTAAGCAGAAAAAAATACAATTTAAATCTTAATTTTATTTAAGATAAAATAATATAGTTTCATGACTTATAAATTCTCTTTTACAAAAAACTTTACAAATTATCGAAGGGATTCGGAAGATGACAAAGTTAATCCTAGGGCTGAACTTTGCGGAGCAGTGTCACATTTTCAGGAATAAATCCGGGGACTGGGCAACCTTTAACGACTTGGTTTACGTGTCATTTGACTCGGGACGGAAGGCCGTTGGCTAATGCCACGTCTTAGGTGAACATAAATATCCGTGTTCCGTCCGATATGAATCTCAGTCTGAGTCTCTTGGTTCAGTCAGTCACGTGCCACCGAAGTCGCGCCTCCGTCCCGTTTTGTAATCCGCGAGATATGGCCTCGACGACACGCTCCCACCGACTCACTCTGCACCCATTATGAAAATGACAAATGGAGCGCAAGTGTCCGCCTCCCCGAAGTAAACAGAACGGGGTAAGATAGGCTCGGGAAAAAACCCCGGAACGCGTGAGGGATTACGTGTCAAAGGATTAGAGACAACAAGAACTCCAATGTTCCCACCTCGAAGATTAATTCACAATGAAATTGGGAAATGCAAGAGATAACTATCATAATTCAATCGGCATAGACGCCGTTTAGGGTCAAATCAGTTCATTTCTCATTTTAAGATTTTAGCTGTAATAGTGTTTGTACACTAAAATATATTTATTAAGTTTTACATGCAAATAAATTTATTAAAACAATCAAAATTATCGTATTTCTTGATTGAAAAATTATTTAAAAGAACCGTTTATGATTTAAGAATCACAATCCCTATAAAAGATATATATTTCTTTTCAGATTCAAACAATGTTTTGCAAAAAAGTAAATTTATCTAAAAACAAGAAAGGAAGCTAGCTTCGGCCAGCCGAAGCTTAAATACCCTTGCAGATCATTCCTATTAATTAACAAATCGCAAAAATGTTCAATTAATTTCATTAATCTCATTAATTTTCCGATCGTTCCTATGGCAGCTATATGATATAGTCGTCCGATTTTGATCAAATTAAAATTGAAATTCGGAAATATTTAAAAAGATTCATATCCTACAGTAGAAGATAATACAATAAAAACCAAAGAAGCTAGAATTTATTTCCTATTACTTTTCCATTAATTTTCCGATTGTTCCTATGGCAGCTATATGATATATTAGTCCGATTTTTTAAATATTTAATTCGAAATTCACAAATAATTAAAAAAATAACATCCCCAAAAGTAGAAAAACACCGAAGCTAAAATTTTTTTAACGTTTTCTTTTCCGATCCTTCCTATGGGAGCTATAAGATATAGTTGTCCGATCCGGTCGGTTCCGACATATATACTACCTGCAATAGAAAGAAGACTTTTGGGAAAGTTTCATCCCGATAGCTCAAAAACTGATAGACTAGTTTGCGTAGAAACAGACAGACGGTCATGCGGACAGACGGACAGACGGACATGGCTAGATCGACTCGTCTAGTGATGCTGATCAAGAATATATATACTTTATAGGGTCGGAAACGTCTCCTTCACTGCGTTGCAAACTTCTGACTGAAATCATAATACCCTCTGCAAGGGTATAAATATTTATATAACAATTATATCGGAATTGTTTAATTGTTCCATTTTGATTTTTACAGTTCACAATACAATCTTTGGAATAATTAGCTTTTTAAGCAATGCCTAATTTTACTTACTGTGTAAGTTATATTAATTTCTATATACATAGTTAGGATAAGCTACATTTGTCCTGAACTGGTTTTCGTAGTTTCCAGAGGGATTATAGTTGCACACAACGTAGATGATATCGCCCCTAAAGAAGTGTTTAATACAAAACTCTTAATTATTCGTAATGCAGAATGCTTACCTCCGGGCAACACCGATGCCCAACTCAGTGGAACTTTTCCAAACCAACTGAGTAAAATGCCCCGTCTGCTCACTATACGAGGGATAATTCCAATTGTATAACGAAATCTCATTGTACCATGCTCTAACTGCATCTGCACCTCCCGAATTCGACAGGTAGCCGTAGTAAATATTTTCTCCAAATCCGTTGTGACTATGAATAGGCTTCTGGAAATTATTTGCTAGCAAATACTGAATAAATGGAATAATATATTACAGATTGGTCATTAGATATTTATTCAAAGATTTTAGATGATCTTACGTGTGCCCAATTGGTGGCCATTTGACTCAACTGGGGGTTCACAGTTAAGGGTGGAGCATTATGCAAGGCCCGATAGTAATTGTGCACTCATAGAAATTTTTACCCTAAATCGCCCTAAAAAACTGACTTTTCGCCCGTGGATTTAGAAAATCGCCCATAAATCGTATCCGCTGGCGATTCGCCCGTGTATTTAGAAAAATTTTCTAAAAAATCCCGATGGAAATTTGGTTTAATTTAGGGTGATTTTTCTTGAAATAAGAAATATTTTCCTTTTTTTAGGGTGATTTGCCCTAATTTTAAGGTGTATTTTTCTAAAATTAAGGGCGAATTTTCTGTTTTTAAAGGCAAATGCCCTAAAAAATTAGACAAATTAAAAAAATTCGAGTTTGAGCATGCTTAACTGAATTTGGGAAGCATGTATTTTTTAATCGTGTATATTCTGGGAACTGGGACTGCTTTAATTACACAAAACCGGCGGAGGACACTGTTTCATATTGTTGTATTGGTGTGTAGCTTATATGGGAGCTGCGCTAAGAGGGGGGCCCGATCTATACAGAACAGCCGTTAGAACTGAAAAATCATGTTTGTAAACGAATTAGGGAAATAAATATGAGGAGAAAAAACTACTTACTTTTTTTGGTCATTGCGACAATCGAACCCACGACCTCTCGGTTTAGAGTCTAACGTCCTAACGCTGCACCACAGACCCATCGCGCAAGACGACGAACAAACTCTGCACATATCTTATTTTCTTGAGGTCTACGTTATAATATGACTAAAGGCAACTAAACCGTATAAAGTATGCTTTTAACTCAGAACTCCCATACGTTTTTAAGGTTTAAAGACTACTTTAATTTAAAATTCGGACGAAAAAATGTCCTCAGTATTATAATGTTTACAAAAAAAAAAAAAAACATAAAAATCAAGTTGAATCACACAGGGTTCGAACCCACAACCTTAGTCCTCATATAGCAAAGTTGAAAGCGCAAGTGATTAGACCGCTGGGCTACCGAATTTCACACTTTTGGAGTGATTTTTAAGGCAAATCGCCCTTGTATTTAGAAAAATTTTAGAAAAAAAATTAGGGCAATTCGCCGTTGGATTTAGAAAAGGTCAAAACGAAGCAAATCGAAAAAAACCGCCCTAAATATTAGAAAAATAGAAAAATTAACCCTAAAAATATTTTTTTATGGTCACCTGCCTTAAATTTATGGCAAATTTGTCGTGAAAATAGAAAATTTTTCTCAGTTCAAAGGCGAAAAATTTTTTAGGGCGATTTTCTAAAATGTAGAAAAATATTTTTATGAGTGTGGGCATCAAGAACTTGTTGCTCATACTAAAATTTAAGAATACAAATTAATTTTAAAAATGTATGTGTTTTCATTATTGAATTATGAAAATAAAAACATGATATATTACCGAGGATCCGTACAATTTCGCTTGGAATGAGTTTTGCACCAGTGATAATACGATTAGACAACAGATTCCTGAATAATTATTTTTAAAGAGAATAATAAGCTTATTTAATTAACTTGTCATCAAACATGATTAACAACCTTTAGTTCTCATTTTGCAGTTGTAATTTTTTCTGAACACTTAATTAAAGTTGAACTATGTTTTTTTTTAATTATGATTGCCGAACTATTTATGTTGTTGATTATTTTAATTTAAAAATCCGTGCACTGGCACTGGTAGTTCTAAACTAAACTTGTCTGAAACTAAATTTGTCTGGACGCCGTAGAGGGCTTTTATGTGATTTTGGTGACAAATATTTCGGTTTCTGAACATGATGTGCGAAGTATAAATGGTAAAAAATTTTAGTTTTTGAATGAAAAAAGTTAATCTTAATTGTTTTCCATTTAAAGTTGGTCAGGTTTCACAAGAAAATTATGTCATTCTGATTAATATGTTTAATTGTATGAGTTTGAATAGGAAGTTTAAAAACGAAACTAAATTAAGCGTAACAATTAGTAATTTACATGAGTAACAGTTGAAATTGTTTAGTTAATAATAAAGTTAGAAAAATACAATTAAAAAAGAACAAAAATCTTTTACGGGAAGATATCCCGCTGTGTTAAAAACGCTGGCAAACAAATTTGTGTTAAAATTTCAACCATAATTTGGTGACCCCGAAAAGCACAAGGACTCCGGATTTCTACGGGTGGGGTGTCAGGACTGAGCTGCCGGAACTGACGAGGACGTTATTAGCCGCAGGGGGAGTTGAAGCGAAGGGAAGGGAAAGATAAAGATAAAGTCGAGAAAAAGGCTGATACCTTTGAGGGGTGGTTTGATTTTTTTGTAAAAGCACTGCGGCCGTCCACAATTGAATTTAAAAAAAAAAAAACTGCAAAACGCATTTTTCAAAATGACAAACAAACCCAACGAAAAGTGAAACGGAAAGGAAAACAAACAAAGGAGGCCAAGGAAAACAAAGTAACCTGAGACCGATTCCGAGTTCAAACGAATGATGATGATGATGATGATGATGGGACTTGGGCTGGGAATGGTGGGGTGGATCTGGAGAAGAATAGGAAGACCCGCAAGGGGGTGTAAAAACGAAATAAGTATAAACAAATAGAAGCTCACAGTAGGCGGCTCAATTTGAACAAAGTCAAATGGACTGGGCGACAAGGGTTCCGTTTTTTTTTTGCCGGGGTGGTTCAACTCTACATTTTGGCAATTATAGTTCCGAAATGTATACACGCAATATGCAAGGCTTTGAACAAACAATAAACTGTTATCAATCAGTTTTACATGTGTATCAACACTACTTCCCCGGCGAATTTTAGGCTTGGAAATGGTGGGTTGAAATGGAAAATAAATACAAAAAAGGGATCACAAGATATATCCATTTTTAGATACGTAATGTTAAAAAGCTTTTATTTTTTGGAACATTTTTGTTATATATTTTAGGATTGGAAAATTTAACTATGTTCATTTTAATGGGAACTTTAAATAAGAATAAATAATTTTCGTATTCACTGAACAACGGCATAATTCCCTGAGATTACATGGTTTTTTTTTTAAATATTGAAAGATTTTGGGTCTTTTTTAACAGCTTCCTCCGGGAAGGAGAAATGCTTTTTTATTTATTTTTGACCTTAAATGTCGTGACAGTTGCAACACTGATGGGCCTTGAAATAAAGTGGCCGAGTGAAGAGAACAGAACCGCAGATGTCCGGTTCCAGGGAGCGATTTTCCATCGCAACACCAGGCGGTCTCATTAAGGCGCCAAAGTGCAGGCCAATTTCCAGGGGCGGTCGAAGAGGGGCGGTTCCTGGGCTGCGGGCATAAATCACGCCGTTTAATAACTAATAAACGCCATCGCTCAAGTGGCAGCTGTCAGCTTGTCAGCGGCGTCCGAAGAGCGTGAAATTGTCGCCAGAGCAGAGGGCCAAGGGTCAGGAGAGCGCAAGCAGGATGGGGATGAAAGCAAGGACAGCGCAGCGGTCGTTCCAAGTAAAAAACACCCCAGAGGAATCCATCAGTTTTCGTGATTTCCGTATATTAAGTCATCATTTTCGGTCCCAGTTCGGCTGCTCCCTTGGGGAAAGTCCGGTTCGTTCGGGGAAGAAACTTAAAATTGAAGCTGGAACAATAATGGTGGATGAACCTCGTGTCCGCGCTGTCTGATTACAAGAAAAGTTAAGTGCTTCGAATCGAAATGGGAAAAAGGGGGAGGCCATGGCTCAGGAATCACTTTCTTGTCCATGTTTCATTAGTGGTTAATGTCCAACACAATTGGGTTGTTGGAAATTCATACTGAGCAAGGTGGATGCTTAAGAAATATCAACAAAAAGAATATAAACTTAAAATAATATTCGATTATTTAATTATTTGTAAACGCTGATCCGGGCATTTGCGTCGTTATAATTTGCTAACGTGTACTATTCACATAATCATTTAAGTATTCTTTCCTAAAAGTATGTTACAACCATGTGCTGTTCCGCGGTGAAATTTGGGGATAAGTCCCGCCCACTCGGGTGAAAAGTGAAAAGAAAATGTTTTATTCAAAAAGTATGTTAGAAATTATTAATTCTGAAAACTCCTTGCTCTTTCCTTGCTTCATAAACCTTGAATTTAACTATACACATTTTTAAGGATTTTATTTTGGGTGAAGAGTTTATTGCTCTTATATTTATATTTATATGTTTAGTCTATAGGGGTTCGATTAGTTCGGTAAAACTTTATGAATATTTTTTCTGTAACGGGTAATTGAAGTCGTCTCCCAGTGCCTGACACCTCGTCATCCATTAAAAAGTGCTACAACAAATGCACTCATTTGCTTGCAGGTGTCTAAACCGCCCACCCACTCCTTTGTTAAATCTTTGCCCCTGGGGGAGCACTCTAATGCGTCAAAATCCTTCAACTTTTCGCACAATGCGGTGGGCGAGGAGGCGTGGCTGCTGCTGAAGAGCCCTTAGCTCTCCTGTGAAAACAAAAACAAAAGGAAAACTCTACAGCGGGCACAAAAAAAATCGTAGAAAGAGTCTGACAAAAGTATTTGAATTGACAAGTGCCATCAAAATAGAAGCGGAATTAAATTTATCATGCCAAGTGGTGGCTTCGCGAGGTGGGCTGGTGAGGTGGTAAGGTGAGGCCCAAAAAGCAGGAGAGCTATAGCTATGACGAACTGTCAGGGGATGAACACGCCAACCCGGCAGAAGTAACATCAACCGGCTGAAGCTGCGTCATCGATCAACTCGAGCGAAAGGCAGTTCCGCCGGAAGGAAGGCGAACTTTTAAATATTGAATAATATGTTTTTCTTTCCCTTGAAGACAACCAGCCTCCAGCCACGCCCCATTTTGACTTGGCTTGTTTTGGCTTCCAAAAACTTGGCTTCCAAAACTTGGCATAATGATGGGGCGAATGATGAGCGAAATCTTGACAGCTCTGTACAGTGGGACCAGTAATTATAGAATAATATTAAAACAGAGAACATATTTTATATTGAAATTCTCTTAAAAAAAGATTATTGCATACACATAAAAATATTAATCACATATTTTAAAATACAAAACTGGTATGAATCATAAGAATTTAATTTTCATTTACAAAATTTTTTTTTGGAATCTAAATGCATTTAATAATTTCTAAATATTTATGGATTTTTTCTATATACAGGAATCACTGTTAAAGAGCATGCTAAATCGATCAGCATTTAGATGATGATGACGACAATGACGAAACGCTTTCGGATTATTGGGCATACAAATCAGCTTAAACTCCAAAGGTGGGGATGGCTAAACGATATACATATAGAGGGAAAACATGGCAACGAGAACAGGATGAAATGGAATAGGATGGGAAGCTCGGCTATTTGAAACTCTGCCAGCTTGCCACTTGAGTTTGCAAGGGGCTCCGGTCGTTTATATTACAGCATATTTTGAATAGGCTTTTTAATTTGTATTTAATTTCATAATTAGAGCTGAGCCCCGACACGTTTCTGGTCCGCTCGGATTACGGAACACGCCGCCATGCGACTCCATTTCTTTCCAGACACCCGACTCGTGTTAAATGTAATCCGCTTAGCGTTCATAATTTCTGCTAATATGTGCAGGGACCTCAGGTTCGTATGGCTTTTCAGGACCGACAATTATTCCCAGGCCAGGAGAATTTTACTCAATCTGTCAGAAGAGCAGGACACTCGGTGGAGTCCTGTCTGAAATATGGCCTCTTGTTGGGCCTTTCAATGTAAACATCGCCCGAGAAGTGGACAAATCGTTCAACTAAAAACGACAGCAATCAAACAAAATTGAATATCAGCGGAAACGGAAACGCCAAAAATCGACAGCAGCAACAGTCAGAAAAATGCTGGAAAAAAGCGGATGTCAGTGCGAAATTTGGACGGGCCAGGGATTGCAGATTGCGGGGGCTCACGGCAATTGTTACGTGTCAATAACTGCAATAAAAAATCGGACTGCAACAGCCACCCTGTGGCCCCCGCCCCCTTCTCCACCAGGCTGCGCCTCAATAACTCTGCAGCTCAAATCAAAATCAACGTTGCATTTCAATTGCGAAATTGCCAACTGCCAAACGTCCGCATCCGCTCATCAATCGCCCCAGGAAAAATCGGGGACCATCTCGTCCAGATTGTTTCACCTTTGTCCCCTACCTTCGAACCGGCGCACAGGAGAATATTAAAATAAATGTCCATCAGTTAGTTATTCCAGCGAGTTATTTGTATCGTTCGAGATTAAATTAAACTAGGCCGTGAATGGCCTGTTAGCTGAATCGCGGAAATAAGAGTAAATAAAAGAGTTGGAAGGGAAACAGTTTTCATAGCAAACTTTTCAGCTTGAGTGAAAAATAAATCCAACATTATATTCGTCATTTCTATGAACTACAATTATACTCATTGAATTTTCCAAATAAATTCTGAGCTGTTCTAAATATATTTTTGATATCGCTCCATCAAAATGAGTATTTCATGTAAAAATCTCGCTTTTTGTTCGAATTAAATGCATAAACAATGGAAAGTGGGCATATCATCATCATCCGATGTCTATTGCCATATGTTACTTTATCTGATTCGCAGATCGCACCAGTTAACTGCATTCAATGTTCTACTATCTAATCTGGAGGGACGCATCTGCAGTGATCTATTGGGATATCAGAGTGTGCCCTCAATTCGAGAGTCTGACAAAGGAAATTGCAAATGTATTCCGGGTGCAAGATCTATTCAACTTTTTTGCATTCCGCTGGGGTGACTTTGATGGGCTCATGTTGCAGGAGTTATTAACACTCTGTTGGCGATTTGTCACAAAAATGCCTCGTATGACATGTGTGCAAACAAGACCAGAAAAACGGTGAAAATGATGACAGTTCGGGGTTGCAGATAGTCCTCGAAAGGGGTGTCCTTGCCAGGATCTCGGATCCACCCTGTCTATGTTGCCCAGCGATCCGAGATTAATGAACACGTTGTTTACTTTTAATTTGACACAAAACTTAAATTTAAACTCGATAAGCGCAGGCGGGGTTTCGAACAAAGATTTTCATCACTACCCAAGCTGCCTTCACTTCCAGCCAATTCCGCATTGTGCCAAGTATTTATGCATATCTGCAAAAGTTTAATTAAAAACACATCAAACTGCAGACTCACAGGAATCAATCACAATTACCAATCGCCGTCGCACAGTGGCGCCTTTTGACTTTTTTTTGGTAATAAATCATAACTTTTGAACCAGTGAAGATAATTGAATTTTGTAAACGGCAAATGATAGATAATTGATCCACCTTTCAAATTATTGCTTGAGACAGGGAGTGGGCGTGGCAGAGGCGTACTTACAAATCGGCAAAGTCAGAATTTAAAAACAAATCCATTTTTTTCCGACAAAAAAAACTTTTTTTAAAAAGTTTTTTTTTTTTTTAGTTTCTTTTTTCATGTTGTAATTTTTAAAACTTATTAAAAAAATAAATAAAAAAAATTGGAATTTAAAAAAAAATTTTTTTTTTTAAAAATTACGTTTTGTTTAGTTTATTTTTTTATGTTTTAATTTTTAAAAACTAAAAAAAAAAAAAAAAAAAAAATTAAAGTTTTTTTTTAAAAATAAAAATTTTTATATTTCATGTTTTTTGAAATAATGGTCACAATTTGGTAAACTTGGTAAATCCAATAGACTTAACATTTCTGGACTATAATTACTAGATTCTAACTCTGTGACAAGGTTGTGATTCCATGACCCTGGAATACAGTTTGGATTCGCACATACTAAATTCAATGCTTAGGCAGCGTAAGTTGTTTTGAGCTGGCAAAAGTTGCTATTTTCGTTTCTGAATAACTTTTAAACGTGTTTTTTTTACAGTAACATGATACATACCAAAATTTAAGGAATCTCAAGGGCTATACAGTTTGAAGTTTTAAAGGAAATCGTTAGAGCCGTTTGTGAGAAAAATAACAGAAACTAAAAAAAAGTTTTAAAAAAATGTGTTTTGTGCATATCTTTTTAAATATTACAGTTACACAAATTACATATAGGAGGCGCTTAAAGCATTTTAAAATACCTTTTAAACAAGAAAAAGCACAAGTCTGTAGCTTCACTAGTTTAGAAGTTAAGGCCTTCCGTATTTTAGCTATTTATAGCTGTTTTCCCGCTAAACTAGCGGGTTTTTCCAAAAGTGGTAGAACTAAAGTTTCTTATATCGAGCTGTTGAACATCATATCAAATTTTCATGACTTTAAAACCATGTTTTGGACAAATCTTTCACAAGGATGCGCCATATGCAATTTCTTGGACCATGACTTTTTTCCCTTTTTTGGCTCTTAAAACCGCGGACGCAGGCGGACGCAGCTACAACTTTCGTAATATCAAGAAGAAAGTCCAAATAACGTTTTACGGAAGTATAAAAAAAATAGTATTAAATAGTTTTTTTTTATTTTCCATCAAAGTTGAAAAATATGGAAAAAATGGACGTTTCGCAAATAACTCATAACTAAGAGATGCGCATGGCAAACTGCAATATGTTTTACTTTTTTTACTCTTAACTAACACACCAATCCGTGGAAAAAAGAAGCAAAGCGATTCGATACCTAGTTTTTAAGAAAAACCCCCCGGAAGTGCGAAAAATTACCTAAAAACGGTGTGTTTTTTTTAAGTGAAAAATTGTTCAACTTTGAAAATTCATATCTTTTACAAAAATTTTTTGATTTGAAAAAGGGTTACATATTTGTAATAGTGGATCAATTACCTGTCGATTGGTATGGGTCACAACTTTCTAGGACAAAGTCGAAAAAGTGATTTATTGCACGTTTTTTGGCCCAAGGCGCCACTGTGCGTCGAGGGTCGTGCTGGAAAATTGGCAAAATGTGAAAAATGCACAAGGATAAAGCGGAATCAAAGGAATTCTGCACTGGCCAAAGGGAACTGTACAGGAAATGACCCCCAAAGGCTTCGACGCGAATGTATCCATAATAAATGCTGACTAATTAAAAATTCCACCGATGCATTGGAACAATTTTGCTATGAATCCCATAATTTATTTTTGTTATTTATACATACGTTCATATTTAGAAAAAATATTAAAATTAATTTAATCATTATTGTTCTACAATAATTCTAAAAATACGAACTACATTTTTTTTTTAAATTTGGTATATTAAACGAAATTTACAACAAAATTCATTTTTCTTGTTCAGAGTATAAAAACTCGAAATACTTATTATAATTCTTCATGTAGAGATTGTTTCTCATACTCAGACTAACATAGTACAAGCTTATCCACTATAAGAATTTAAGATTAATGGAAATATAAGAGTAAACTTAAAACTTAACTTAACTTAAGATAGGTTTTCTTAGTAGTTCGGTAAAATCAAATGACTAACTAAAATGTTCCATACAATTTTCTAACACAAAAGAAGGGGTGAGGGTGCTTACTCCTTTAAAAACGACTTCCGGATGGAGCTGGACTCCCTGTACTTCTTATGTCCGTGAATCCGTGCAGAGCCGAGGAGAAATTGCTTCCACTCGGCTGGCCTCATTAAGTGGCAACAAAACAAAGGTCGACCACAACATTTCAAATCAAATATAAAAGTCAAAAATCCATCGAAGCCGAAACGAGGGCGTTGAGGGAACTTGGCCAGGACCTGCATGCAAATGTTTCTAGGGGTGGTAGAACCTTTGGATGTGGGGTTGGGCTAACCGCAGTCGAGGCACCAAGACGCCGGCAATGAATGAGAATTTGCTTTGCGGAAAAACTTAAACACCGGAAACAATTAATTCCACTTGAATTAACATATGCACAGATTGGCCTCCCGGGGGGAGGATGGTTAAAGTGGCCGGTGGGAGGTTGGGCATTCTAATCGAGGACCTTCGAAAGTGTTGACTGCCCGTGGGGTTGATTGATCGCCATCGCCCCTCGGTCCTTGGATGAGCACTCCGCGGGAAAACTTTCGCCATAAGCATTCCTAGTGCCATTCGTGTTTATGAGCCAAAACTTTTGATAGACTCGCGGAGAAAGGGCTAGAAATAATGTACACTCTTATAGATTTTGCTAGAAACAACGGATAATTTTCAAAATACTTAAAATAAATATTAAAAAAAGTAAAATAAATCAAAAAAATACTAAAAACAACAAAGTTAGGGCTGAAAAAATTATCAAATTAAAATTAGAAAAAAAAATCCAAAAGAATAAGTTTTTATTTATTATTTTTTATTTTTTATAGATTTTGACGCCCAGTATTTCTACTTTAACATTTTAAGCTTTTAATTTTTAAACAATACTTTTTTTTGGTATTTTGTGTAATTTAATAAAAACAGTGCAATTCATTGAACAAATTAAGGTTGATTAATAGATGAAACTCGAACATTTTCTTCAGAGCCAATTTGTGCCAGTGTTCTTTTATTTAGAGGGGGTTGAGGAAAATAGTTCGGTGTACCGCATTGCGAGCAAACAGTTTCAGAAATGAGTTAAAAAGTTAATTGCCAGCGGACAGGTAATTTCTGGCACACTTCAAGTGCAAATGCCATTAAGTAATATGCAAACAAGGGTGGCTCCACCCCCGAGACCACCGAATGCCACCCTTCCCCGGATCGCTGGCCCAGTCAATCAAGGAGCAGGAGTTGACAGGCTCGACTGCCGCGACACGAAAGCCATAAAGTCACGAAATGCCTAAAACTTTAGCGGCGATCCAGAAACCGGGGATGGGTCCCAGTCCTACCATCCTTCCTCGTCCCGTTGCGTGTGCCTTGCGGTTAGTTTTACAGTTAGTTACGAAAGGAACAGACTGGTGCACTCAGAGAAATGTCAACTACAATTTAAAACAAAAAAATATTTTTTCACAACATACTAGCACATTTTTTTGAATTCTTCAAATTTTGTTTTTAATTTGTGATTTCTTTCAATCAAAATTAAAGTGACATCAGCCACACCAATTACTATGGAAGCATAAAACAATATTAATAAACTCGCATTGACTCAACATTTCTTGGTACTTCCAATTAGCTCCAATTAGTCATGTCCACAGATTAGCCAGTCTTTGTCACCGAACCAGTGTTGGGAAAGGTACTGTGTTTTTTTACCTAGGTAAGGTAAAAGGTATTGTCAAAAATAAATACCTAGGTAAGGTAAAGGTACTTAAATTTCCCAGTACCTAGGTAAAGGTAAAAGGTATTTATAAGGTATTTTTTATTTTTTATAATTTTTTTGTTTTGTTCAATGTAATCATTTAAACTTAAAATAAGACTAGTTTTCAGTTTTTAGTCGTCTTAATCAAACAATATCTTTTCATTTCATTTAAATTTAAATGTTTTAATATGTGCATATATTTTTAAACCACGCGGCATGAATAATTTTATGCACGTATCACTTCATTAATGTATTTATGAAACCCTCATGTACATATTTGGCGCGCAAAAATTCCGTATGTAGAAACATTGACTATATATTGTGCATATGCATGTATATGCCGTTTGTTTACGTACATACGGCATTTTTGCGCGCCAAATACACTTTGGTTTAATAAATAAATTGATGTAGTGATGGGAACATACATACGTGCACAAAATTATATAAAAAAAACTGCGATTAGTTTTAACTTCACAAAACAAACAATAGAACGGCTGAATTATTAATGCTGCGTTCCGACTATTACAATTCTGAAACGAAACGATACAATGAAACGATACTACAGTGTCGCAGTCAGATTTGGCTATTTTAAATCAGAACAATGTTTAATACCTATGTAAGTACCTTAATAATTCCAAAGGTATATAAAAATAAATACCTAGGTAAGGTAAAAGGTACTCAATTATTTGTATACCTAGGTAAGGTAAAAGGTACCACTAAATTGTACCTAGGTACGTACCTAGGTAAAAGTATCTAGGTATGTCCCAACACTGCACCGAACTCGCATAAAAGCTGTGGCCCAGTGCAGATAAGTTCAGTTCCCACCGAGAAGTACCAGAAGTACCAGCACAAGTGCATAGATTTTTAAATTTTAATAGCCGCAACATAAAAAGAAAATATAACTTAAACTGAGTGGGAAGAAGCGGCGAAATGGGTGTTAAAGGTAAAGAAACATTCTAAGAGACACCGACTTTTTAATCAATTACTTATTTTATTAAATTAAAAAAACATCTTCCTAATCTTATCTCCTCAATCTTTTTAACGACATTTTTTCAGGAATCTTTTGTCTAATCTTATTATCAGCGGTGGTGGAGAACTCACTACAAGCGAAATTTAACAGACTCACGGTAATAATATATTATTATTTTATAAATTAAAAATTAGGTTTAAATTAAATTTCAAAAATGCAGAATATTAACTTTTTGAAATAAATATTATTTTTAAATTTCAGTTTGCGCGAAAAGTTCTTAGTGCCCACAATTATTATCGGGCCTTGCATAATGCTCCTCCATTAACTTTGAACCCGAAGCTGAGTCAGATGGCAAGCAAATGGGCCCATGTAAGATCTTCAAATATCTTATAATATTCCCTCTATTAAAGTGTTCCATTATTACAGCATTTGAAGGCCACAAATACCATAAAGCATAGTCAGAATGGATATGGAGAAAATATCTACTGGGCCTCAAACGGTAAATTGGCACCCAGCGATGTCGTCGAAGCTTGGTACAATGAGATTTCCTTGTACAATTGGAGGTATCCCTCTTATAGTAAACAGACCGGGCACTTCACTCAGGTGGTGTGGAAGGGTTCCACTGAATTGGGCGTCGGGTTTGCCAAAAGGTAAGTCCTCGCACTATGCGGATATACAAAAATTGTATTTAACATATTTTTTTAGGGGCAAAACCATCATTGTTGTATGCAACTATAATCCCCCTGGCAATTACGAAAACGAGTTCAGGAGAAATGTAGCTCTTCCTAGAAAGATCTACAGGAACTAATAAATATCATACGATATAGTCGATGACCAAAGAATCTAAATATGAAAATAATAAGAAGTAGAAAATTTAAGACGCTATTTTAATTTATTTATTTAATTTATTTTTAGTGTTAAATATATCTTTAATAGAAAAACAAAAGCTTGTCAGGAGCTTGAGACTGTTTATTAAAAATAGGACATTTTCTGACTGATAAAGTACTTTCTGAAATTACTCTTGATAAACCGATAATAACAATGATTTTTCTTTTGTGTAATATTTTAATTATTAAATACTAAATGCAGTAAATAAATAAATCAAATGGTTTAATGAATAATTAATTTGCTGTCGTAATTTTTTTTAGTGTAGAGTTGACCTGGTGAGGTGGAAGGCGTGCAGAGATTAGGGACGTGGTGAGGTGACCGCACAGCGCGTGCTCACGTTTAGGCGTAACAAATTACCATTAAACTGCAATCGCCCCTGCCCCTCTGCCCCACTGATTATTATTTAATGATGAGCCCAGGCAGATTGTCCCAATAAACAAAAGTCTGGGTCTCGAGGGCTGGTTCATAGTCGAGTTGCCCGCCTAATTATACGTCATACGATACACACACATTTATCCAAGCTACCTTGGGACGTGTGCTGGCAATTCGTTTAGGGAACAAACTACGACTAGTCTCAGCTCACCCACTTTCTGGTTGCCATTGCTAAAAGTTCACTTTGCCAATCGACTTACCAAAGCGTGTTCCATATCTGCGATCCAATTGGAATTGGCGAGATTCGGATAAGAAACAGGATATTCAGAAGGCCTCGATAACGAGTCTCCGATGAGAAATGATTTGTTTTTGCTTGCATTTGCAAGGTTTTATCAATAATATAATTTTTAAAACTTCATTAAAATTAAAGTGCACCTTTAACCCTGTCTCAGTTATTTAGAGAGATTAATAATGTTGATGATTTGTTAAAACAATATTACATTTAAAACTTGCGCCTATTTCATCTCATTATTTCATCGTGATAGGTGAGTTCAAGTAGGTTTATCCCTTAATCCAGAAGATATATTTCCTCCACATAAACAATTACATAAATGAGTATCTGGCGCTGTTTGTTTCTCTGTGTGTCTGCATCCGTCCGGTGACTAATATCATCGAAGGAATGCAATTATTCAAGTGCTGCCAGCCAATTGTGGAAAATGCCAAAAACAGCCAAACGAATTTTCCGCACCGTCAGCAGGCAGGGCAGGGCAATTTTTTAATTTCTTAATTTTTGCGAGCTCATGGGAGAATTAGCCACGTTGCCACTTGGCCACGTAGCAGCCAAGATGTCGCTGGACGCTGGTCCAACCCCCGGCGAAGGGCGGTAATATTTCTCTATCTCTCTAGTCGGCCGGCGGACAATGGCCAGAGTCGGGGTCCAAAGTGAACGCGATGCTGAGCTGTGGCCTTTGTCTTAACACCCCCTTTTCACAGATCTCAGGGTATATTCCTGCAAGGGAAGACCTTAAAAACCCTTAAATCATTTGAAACACCTTACCTGGGTGCATAAAAAATATAATATAGCTATGCAGAAAAAGTATTGACAAAAAATTGATATGATTGATATGTGCATGTTAATTTAATATTTTTTAAAGATCATATCATTTCATATCATTTTGATGTTTATCTTATTTTACATTATTTGTTCAAAAAATACAATTTTGTTATTTTTATTAGTTTTATGGAGTGATAAAATATCAATTTGGTATGTTTGAATCATAAATTTGACAATAATCATATCGCGTTAATATTAAATAAGGATGAAATAACCCTATTTTATATCGAATTTTATTTCTGTGTAGAATTGATATATATATAACAAAGGATATCATTACTTATTCCTAAAATATTAAAAAAATTAGGAATCTCTTAGGTACCTTTTAGTCGTAATACCGAGATTGTTATTTTCTTAATTTTTTCCTTCTGCCTTCTCTTTGGGATTGCTCTGCTGGCAAAGTTTATTCATTTAGAAAATTTGCTCATTTTCACTGTTCGAGGGGGCGAGTTATTGTTGCTGCCAGGGATCTCGATCCGGCATCCAGCATCCAGCATCCAGTATTCGGCTTCCAAGGGGGTTAATGTGGTACGTGAGCACAGTTTTCATATAAATTGCGGCCAATAACATTTTTCAGTTGGCAGGACAGGAAAAACGCGGACAAAGCAGAAGAGCAGGACGGCAGATGGGGAAAAAAAGATGAACAAAAGCTGCTGATGATGGCTTCTTTTTGGTTGGTCTGTTCCCTGGCCCAAAATCCGGCTCATTAAGCCTTGGGCGGTGGTCATCGCGGGTGTTGGCCTTGCGGTGGGAGTGGGTGGGGTGGGGTGGTGAAGTCCGGACACTTGGGCCGACTTTTTCCTGCCTTCCTTCTTTTTCGGGCATTAGCCAGCAGGCCTGCAGAGAAAGGACGGGGGGAATGCGATGGACGGGCAAATTATTCCCCAAATACCCCGAGGTAATTATAAATGTCATTCCACGCTCGGCTTAGGACAAGCGGACAAGGACGCAGATAGCGGACTGAAAGAGAGCGGGCTAGTGGCGAAGACAAGGACGGGGATGGGATGGACATCGGATCAGGTCCCGTCAGTCGGACGCCGTGTTTTGTCTATCATAATGAGTGGCAGGCGGACATTTGGACATAATTGTTCAATTATTTTGTTACTTATTGCCTGCCAGCATCACTGCCAGCCACCCTGTGACCCAGAAAAGGCACCCAAAATCAGAATAAATTCACTAACATGCCAGGACTGAGAAAAAATTCACATAATTACAAAACTTATTCATAATATCAAGTAGCGAAATCTGCAGTTTAACCATAAAGTATGTAAACTCATTTATGTAAAATGAACAAAAATTAATTAATTTGAAGGTAAAATTTTCTGGCTTTATATATTTTTTAAAAATAATAGATATATTAGAAAAGGTTTTGTGGCAGTTATAAATTAGTTTAATAAATACTATTCTTAGTGTTTTGCGTATTTTTAATTTTGCTTATTTATTCATCACAAAATGTCTTAGTTTTTAAAAATACACACATAGGTACTGCCTTATAAATTACCACTGGCACAAACTTTACCCCAGTGTAGCTTGGTTTTCTTAATTTTGTTCCTCTGTCTTTTGTCATCTACTTCGGATATTTGTCAATTAGATATTTTCGCCAAATCTCGGACTTCCCACGGAGTATAAATATGTTATATATGTATCTAGGAGCGCCACGCCCCGCCGCCCAGTGCCGCACCACATGACAGCCAGTGAACAGGAGACACCCACAAATGGAACACGCGACAGCCGAATGTCAAATTCAATTACAAAAGCCAACTCCACAGGGAATTGGATGGTGGGGGAAGTGGGGAGTTTGAGGGGGCGTGGCCAAATCTCAGGTGAGCTACGCCATTCAATTATAAATTTTCAATAAAAACTTGTGCCACTTGGCCCGCACTTCGACGATTGTTTTTGACATTTGATAAAAAGGGAGGGCGATTTTCTACCACCCACCCACTTTTCCCTGTAATTTCACACATTATTGCATAAAGGAACCACATGGGGTATTTAAATGTTTGCCCTCCACCATAAATGGCCTGGGTGTGCTAGCTCCGGGGCGAAGGAGTTTCGTCATGTAAGTGACAGTTTCAACCAAGAGTCAATCGAATCATTGAGGAGAATTGGTGGAAGCACTCGAAAACGCACATGCACACTAAAATATTAACTGCAAATTAGTTTATTTGACAAGCAAGCGATATTAATGAACATATTGATTTCATTTAATCAAATGCTAGTTTACATTATTCAGCTTTGTGTTTTAGTTTTTACAAAATAATGATTTAATATCCATAAGTACCTTTTTATCGAAAATATATAATTATTTAATAACTTAAAATTTATGGTAAATTCGTGTTAGTCGATTACAAAAATAGTTTTCCGTCATGCCTTAACTCTATTAAATATAATGGCATATTTACATGACAATTTTTTTTTTAATTTAACAAAAATTTTAAATCGCTTCTTCACGGTTTTTTTTATAGTAGTCTAAGAAATGAGAACTTAGAACATTATTTTCGCCATTAAACAAATTATTTTGGTAACTTACATTGGCTTTCGTCGAATCTTAGGTGCTAAGTTAAAATTGAGGGGGTGTAAAAAAAAAGTTTAGAGCTGGTAGTGTCAGGCATCTGCAAACAAAGAAATATTATTTTTCATCAAATTAAAAAAGTAGCTTTGTAAACTCACAATGGCTTTTATAAAGCGATGGGTCATCCTTTCTGTAACAAAGTTAAAAGGTTTATTTGATGCGACTCCATTTTTCTGCAAAATGTCAAGGAAAGTGGAAAGAAACTCGTTGGTTATAAGTTCAACGATCTCCACTTTAAGGTGGATGTAGCGAAGTTTCTGGCAGCTTTGAATAAGTTCGAAGAAAATTTCGGCTTGAATGTTCTGTATGTCCGTTGTGAGGCTCTCTAAGGTATTCGAGTGCTGTAATATCCATTTGAAAACGATTTCTGTATCATATGCAAAATTTCCCTCAAAGCAAATAGATTTGAGACTTTTGAAGTACGGCAAAGCAGATACAGATATAATGCATCCTTTAATTTCAATCTTTTCCATGGCCTGCGATTCTTGCATATCCATTGAAGAATGTATTTCCGTTGAACTAATTTTAAAATTTCGAAGCTTTTTTAATGGAACGCATAGTGCAAAAATATTTATCCTCTCCAGAATGGGGGAAAACTGTAGTTTTAAAACCTCCAAATTCAAAAATGGCTGAATGAGTCTATCTAAAAATGGAAGATGCATTTAAGCGATGATCATATTACATTAATCTGACAAACTTACCGAGTCCTCTGGAAATGTTATATAGGTCCAAGCCTTTAAAGTGGGGATGTCCCTTCAACGTGCCTATCATTTTCGGGAAGTTCTTATAATCAATACGCACATGAATTTCGATTGATTGTATTTTTGTCCCAGAGCTTATGAACCTTTGTAAATAGTCAATT